CTCGGTAGCATCTCCCAAAGCTGAGCGCATGTCTCCACCCCGGCCCTACAGCTTCACGCCTGAGGACACAGCCAAGCCAAGGAAGAGCCGGTGTGCACCAAAACCAGGTGCAGAATCTTCTCAGCACTTTTACTCATTAATAGCCTAATAACATAATAACAACAGCCTAGAAATACCCTAGATTTCCATCCGCATTAGACTGAATAAATAAATGGTGGTTTATACATACAACAGAACCCAACTGCTACATACAACAATACTGATGAATTTCAAGGGCATTATCTTGAATGAACCAAAATCCAGCTCCACTGCCACTGAGTCGATTCCAACTCAGAGACACCCCCATTAGGTTTCCAAGGCTGTAAATATCTATGGAAGTAGATTGCCTCATCGTCCTCCTGCAGAGCAGCTGATTGGTTCAAACCACCAACCTCTGGGTACAACCACACCTTACCCACTACACCACCAGAGTTCCTTCTCCTGAGTGAAAAAAGATAGATTTTTCAAAACACTACATACTGAATGAATCCACCTATTTGAAGTACAAGAACTGCAAACACTAATCAGTGGTGACAGAAGTCAAAACAGGACTTAACTCTGGGGATATTAACTCAAAAGGGGCTCTAAAGAGTTTTCTAGAGTGCTAAAATGTTCTTGATCTTCATCTGGCTAGGCTGACAAGGGTGAACACATGTATAAACATCAATCACACTGCACAGTTAAGATTTGGATTTGTATAGTGTTTGATATGTGTATCTCAGAAACGTTAAAAACAGAAAAAGCTGTAAGCGAGAAAAAATGACTGGACTAAAGAATCTTCCCCTGTCAAAGACAGAGCTCTGCAGTCATGCACGGAGGGCACTTCTGACCACGGATCACAAGAAAGGGCTCTCCTGGGGCAGTGGCTAAGGCACTTGGCTGCTAACCAGAAGGTTGGTGGTTCAAACCACCAGCTGCTCTGTGGGAGGAAGATGAGGCCATCTACTGCTGTAAAGATGTACAACGTTGGAGACCCTACGGGCTGCTAGGAGTTGGAACTGACTCAGTGGCAGTGTGTGGTGGTGGATGGGTTCACCAAAAGACATCACAAAATCTACAATACAAAAATAATTTTTACAACTCAATAATAAAAAGAAAAATAACCCAATTTAAAAGAAGGCAAGGATCTGCACAGACACTTCTCCAGAGAAGATACACAAACAGCTGATAAGCACATGGGGAGACGCTCCCAAGCAGCAGCCATCAGGAAAATGGAAACTAAAACCAGTGTGACACAGCTTGGCACACCCCCGGGGCAGCTAGGCTCAAGACAACCAATGGTAACAAGAGTCGGGCAGCTGGGCGGGAACAGAGCCCTGACGAGCACTGTGGAAAGAAACGCGCGCCAGGCCACTTTGTGTAACTTCTGGCAGCTCCTCCAACGCTTAGGCTCAGCATGACTGCACGACCCGGTCACTCCACTCCTCCTGCTGTATCTACACAAAGTGAACACACACATCCCCTCAAAAACGTGGCCACAGATGCCCAGAACTGTCATCAGAAAGTGCCTCAAAGGGCACTAGAGTGCTCGCTCAGGTGCCGAATGTTCTTTATCTTCGTCGAGTTGGGGCTACAAGCGAAATTCAAAAAGGAAGCCACACAAATGCTCCTCCTTTACTGGGTGGACAAATAAAAGCGGGTAGCCCCATACAACGGAATAACCCTCAAAGAAAGGAAGTGCTGATCCGGGTTACAGGATGAGTGAACCCTGGAAACACAATGCTGGGGAAAGAAGCCATTCATTAACAGAAAATGCCTGGACTACACACATGTACAGAGACAGAAAGCACAGTAGAGAGTGCCTGGGCTGGAGATGTGGAGCAAAACAGGGGGTCAAAAGTGAGCAAAGCTAGCAAGTGGCCATCTAGATGCAATGATGGCTCTCTCCTTGTCCAGAGCAAAGAAGAATGAAGAAAACCAAAATTCAAGGAAACAATTAGCCCTAGAGACTGGTACACCATCCGATCTGCAGCCTATACAACTATGAGACCAGAAGAACTAGATGGTGCCCGGCTACCAGTGTCATCCACTTGGAAGGAGATCTATGTAGGAGATCCTGGATAGAGAGGGAGAACAATGTGGAACAAAACTCAAAATCATTTGGAGAAAAAAAAAGGGGTGGGGACAGGTTTTGCTGGTCTGATAGAGCCTGGTGGAACCACTGAGACTATGGCCCCTAACTGCCCTTCAGGTCTGGAATTGAACCCACGCCTGTGGTTTCCAGCCAAACAAAAGACAGACATATGAGTTGAACATTTACCTCAAGTAGATACACCCCTTGAAGAGAACAATCATGGGAGAAAGAAGGGCTGCTTATGCACAGGGAGACAGCTCAGGGGGCAGGAGTGCATGGAGGGATGGGCACAGGGAAGAGGTAACTATAGGGAGGATGTGGGAGGGGAGCTGTTGCATTGTGGGAAACTGTGGTCAATGACATGAGACAAAGTGTATGTGAGCTGCTGTATGGAAAGTGAATCTCCTCTGTAAATTTTCACCTAAATCATAATCAGAAAAAAAAAAAAAAAAAGAGCAAAGGACATGAACAAACATTCACAGGAATGAGGAGTACAGGAAAATATGCCTAAGCTTATTAAAATTGTAAATGAACGCAGATTTAAACCACAACGAGATACCCACTAAACTGACAATATATTAATTCTATGGATATTATTGTTGAGAAAGAAGTACTGAGTACTGTGTCTTTTTATTTGACAAGAAGCCTTTTCCCAACATTTCTATTTTTAAGCCAAGTTTTCAGTATTACAGAATCCACACCTCTGTATTCTGTTGATAAATCCTCAGTAAACAGAAGAGAAGGGTGTTAAAGGGGTAGATCCTGATACCAACCTTGCAAAGTACAGTCATTTTACAAAGGCATTTCATTAAAAGCTAATTCATATAAAATGTAATTTAATATGGCTGTTCTAAACAATTCTCAGTATTCTAGATACAGAAAAACAGGTTTCCATTATATTAAAAATAAACCAAAAACCCAAATCTACTATTCTAAGATAATCTTTAAACCTTAAAGCAACATTACTCCCTGAAGTCTGCTTCAAACCAAAGAACAGTTTACTTAACTGCTAAATCACGTCTGCCTGGACAAGAGCAACTCGAAAGATGAGACCGGAAACTGAGGGGCAGTGAAGGAATGTCACTGAGGTGAACACTCAGGAGAGGAGGGTGGGAACGGCCACACAACCTGCAGAACGTGACACCATCACGGACTGGACGACAGACCTGAGCTAGTGTCAGTTCTGCTATTGTACATTTTCAACAGTAAAAATAAAATAAGTTATAAAAAATAAAATGAAACAAACCACAGACCCTTAATAAAGTTCTTGATAATGCTACTGGACAAATTCCTTCAACAAAGCAATGTGGCTGGTGATGGTCTACTCAACCATCCTCCGTGGCCAGCCGTGAAGAAAGAGCAGCCTTAGCTCCTAGGAGAGGCGCCTACCGGGTCTCAGGGAGAATCTGCAGCAGGGGAAGCAGGCTGCCTTCCAGCAGGGTTCTCAGTCTCCTTCCCCACAGGGGAAGTGGTTCCTTCTCCTTGCTACTTCACCTCTGCTCTTTCCACAAGCATTGCGTTTGCACTGAATGCATGTTAAACACTTAACTGACGTGAAAACGCTTGAGATCCTTCAGGAGGGTGATAGCCACTTCTTTTTATAACAAGAGAAAAACACAACCCTCTTATTCATGAAATCCCATTTTAAGTTTTAAAGAAAAGCACATGCTACATCCACATTCTGTGCGTCTGTGATCAGAATTCGGGCACTCACTGTTCAAACAGGACTACTGTGACTAAAACAGCGGTCACACAGATATTTAAAAAAAAAGGACATAAATGACAGAAACTAAACTCGGATAGTTCACACTGTTTATAATAGACTTAAGTGCTATACTATATACCAATAAAGACATTTTGAAAATTCAAATATATTAATGTGGGCAAAGAACTAAGGCTGGCCTTTTGGCTATGATTTCTAAAACAGCCCACACAGTTAGGGTGCTCTTTGCTTTACAAAATCGCCAGGCAGCACTTAAAAAATGCCAATGAACTGCAGGTCCCCAACTCAGGCCTCAGGGAGGGAGGGGGCGTGATGAGGCCTCCAGCGCCCCTCCTTCTGAGCCGGGTCCTCCTCCCTGGAGCCTGCCGGGTAGTGCAGCAATGGCTAGCCCATGCTCGTCCCTGGGCTGTGTGCCAGCGTGGAGCCCCCAACCATGCCCACCTGGGCGGGGAGGACTTGCAGAAGGTTGCCCCTCACCCTGGGACAGGAAGAGGTGCGTGGAGTAGTAGTCCTCTGCTCGACAGTTGTCTTGTGAGGAGGCCACGCCACGCAAACTGGGTCCGCGCGTGTGGAGGTGCACTGTCTGCCTCTTGCTGACCTCCGTGCCTAACGCTCTGGGTGTGAGACGCCGGCGAGAGGCCGTAACATCTACGGAGGACTCATCCTGCCCGCCCAGCACCCTTCTTCTAACCTCCCGGCTGTTTGGAATCGGGACGACCTGTAAGGGCCTCCCAACTTTGGCGTGCTGTCCCCCAATTCAACCGCCGGGTAAAGAGTACAGAACCATGCTTCCCCATCACAGCCGCAAGATGCTGACGTTGTAATTGAAAAAATTAAGCAAAAACTACAAAGGGAAACCATTTAAACAACCTGAACTTGACACTACCTCTAAGCATCTAAGACAAACCGAGAACAAAGAAACAACTAGAACAGAATCTAAAAGCAGCAGCATGTGCACCTTTTGCGTGAGGGAGATGAAGTAACTTCTTTCACTAGCTTCCATCTTGTTGAAACCTTCTAACACACGTAGGGCCAAACGCGCCATCTACAGATGACAGACTTGGCGGACTGCACGGGCCTCTGCGCGGGAAAGAGGAGGCCCCCCGGACACTTACAGCGCTACGAGCAAGGGGCATGAGGAGGCCCTGCACACGCGCCACTTACCTTCTCCAGCAAGTAGCCGATGACCAGGAAGCCTTTTCCGCCCAGCATCTGTTCCTGCATGGCGACCGAGCTCTTCAGCAGCTCCACCAGGAAGGCCAGGAGGGTGGCGCTGTGTGGAAGCACAGACAACTTCAGCCCGCAGCTGCCCAAAGCCGCTCACACACAGCTTCCCACGGCGTCGCTTCATTATGCAAAAGGGTAACCACCACGTTCAACTCTAATCTCTATTTTGTTGACAAAAACTATACCTTAAAATATACAAGTCTTTTCTCTCACAAGCATGAGAAAACTACTTTTATTCCTTTAAAGTTCCTTATGTAAATTAAGTGTATGTTGTTGTTGTTGTTATATGCCGTCGAGTGGGACCCGACTCCTAGTGACCCCTCCTTGGGTTTCCGAGGCAGTATCACTACGGAAGTAGATTGCCCCATCTTCCTTCCGAGGAGTGGCTGGTGGGTTTGAACCACCAGCCTTCTGGTTAGCAGTCAAGTGCCTTAGCCACTATGCTACCAGAGCTCCCAATTAAGCGTATAGTTTCTTTATATCCCACAAGTAAAACAGCAAAGCCTATCTCTACATACATACCCATATCCCCATGTCAAATAAATCGAACACAGGAAACACATGTTCATATGTCACTTCTCCATCATAAAGATGTTGTCATAATAGTATTTTGAATAACATGCTACATTAGGGAATTTTAAATATGTACACAATATGGCTTTGGTACAAATACACCTATTTTTTATATAAGTGTTTTGGGTATACCTATTTTTCAAAATTTTTTTTTTAATTAAAAAAAAATCAGATAAATATGCAACATGTCATTGATAATATATTCAAGTATGCCCTCAGGAAAACTTCATGACAGCAGAGAAGATAAATAATTTATGCAACATTGAAAAAAAAAGGCAATTAATTGCAAATGTACCTACAAATATATAAAGCAACGGTGAGATGTGCCAAAGATTAAGCACTCCATAAGTCTGTTAATGAATGAATAAAGAAACAAAAGAAAAGCGAATGACTGCACTCAGTTAAGCTTTGGTGACGCAGTACTTCACCGAGTGACCCAGAGGAATTCCAGCAGGACTGGGACCTGAGCATCCTGTCCCCACCAGGGAAACACAGGGTCCTTTATAGTGCAGCTTTACTAGGGTTAATGATGACAAGGCCATAAGCTAGACTCCATCATCAATGAAAACAACAGGTATGGATAGTGCTTTATCCTGTACTCTAAATCGCCTATTAATATTCACAAACAAGGGATAAAACTACAAATTTCCAAATATATTATAGATGCAGAAGTACTTTCTTATAAGTCATTCAGAAAATTTAATGAGGAAAACTTGAAAAGTACTGAGTCCTAAAGAGAATCTAAACTTATTCTACCCGCTGGTCTTCTCGTTTCAACAGGACTGGGAACACACTGTCCATGGTAATGAGACTAGTCTTGTTCAAATCAGAAAACTTCTCATAACAAGAACCAATAACATCATTATTATTTTAAAAACTGGTAGTTTGGTGGATGACATGATATCAGCTTTATTGGGGGGGGGAGAGGGTATCCAAAAAGAAAATACTTCATAACAGGAAATTAAAATCCAATTATTAATTGATTCTATCACTTTAAGTCAAAGAAAGAAAGAAAAGAAAACTAATACTGTTTCACCAATCAATGGCATTATTTATTTTGGTTTTAAGTCAAAGTTAGACATTTATAAGGAAAACATAGCTCCCAAGGAACCCCGCGAGAGTTTTTAGCATTTCTGTGAAGCAGCACAGCTAACACGTGACTTGTTCCATTTCCTATGAACTGACTCAACAGTCAAGGCTGCTTCACAAACAGCTGCTAAGGTACTGCTGCAAAGAACACTTCTGCCCGAATAACTGAAAAGAATAAAGAAAACCGTTTCCTAGGAACTGCATGATTTCCCAATCTATCTACGGAATTCTGCTGGGGCGGAAGGATGGCCAGGATTCCCAAACACAGTTGTTGCCAGTGCCACCCAGCAGACTCAGACTCATGGGGACCCCACACTGCACAGCAGAACTGCCCCACAGCGTTGTCAAGGCTGCGGCCTCTCAGAACCCAGTAACCAGGCCTATCTTCCAAGGTCCCTCTGGGTGAGGTGGAACTGCCAACCCCCAATGCAGTAGTTCAGTGTTTCACCATTTGTGCCACCCAGGATTTCTTTTTAACATTACCATTGCCATAAAAAGAGCCTAGAAATGTCTCCCTCTAATCTCCACAGTCCATGATAAAAGGGGAAAGATGTACTTCACACAATAAATCACCTTCCTATCCAGCACTGCATCAACTGACACAGACGCGAGAAGGACCACGGTTTCTCAAACATCTACTGAATCACCTGAGACTTCCAAATGCCGTGAAGTTCCATCCAAAACAGAAGTGTTCACTTATTATTATTCCAGAACGTTAACACGTGATTGCGCTATCGGAGTAATGTTAACTTCACTTCAATATTAACATGTGATTGTGCTAATTAAGTAACATTAACTTCATTTTAGTATTAACACATGACTGTGCCATACGAGTAACGTTAACTTCATGTTAGTATTAACATGTGACTATGCCATCCGAGTAACATTAACTTCACTTCAATATTAAAATGTGATTGTGCTATCCGAGTAACGTTCACTTCAGTATTAACGTGTGACTGTGCTATCTGAGTAATGTTAACTTCACCTGCAGTATCAACGTGTGATTGTCCTATCTGAGTAACATTAACGTCATGTCAGTATTAACGTGTGACTGTGCTATCCAAGTAATGTTAACTTCACTTCAGTATTAACGTGTGACTGTGCTATCCGAGTAACGTTCATTTCAGTATTAATGTGTGACTGTGCTATCCGAGTAATGTTAACTTAACTTCAGTATTAACATGTGACTGTGCTATCTGAGTAACATTAACGTCATGGCAGTATTAACATGTGACTATGCTATCCGATTAACGTTAACTTCACTTCAGTATTAACGTGTGACTGTTCTGCCCAAGTAACGTTAACTTCATGTTAGTATTAACATGTGACTGTGCTAAGTAATGTTAACTTCACTTCAGCATGAACGTGTGACTGTGCTACCCAAATAACGTTAACGTCACACAAGTATTAACGCGGGACTGTGCTATCTAAGTAACATTAACTTCACTTCAGCATTAATGTGTGACTGTGCTATCTGAGTAAAGTTAACTTCATTTCAGTATTAACATGTGACTGTGCCATCTGAGTAACATTAACATCATGTCAGTATTAATGTGTGACTATGCTATCCAAGTAACATTAACTTCACTTCAGTATTAACGTGTGACTGTGCTATCCGAGTAACGTTAACTTCACTTCGGTATTAACGTGTGATTGTGCTGCCCAGGTAATGTTAACTTCATGTTAGTATTAGCGTGTGACTGTGCTATCTGAGTAATGTTAACTTCACTTCAGCATGAACGTGACTGTATTACCCGAATAACATTAATGTCGCACAAGTATTAACACGTGACTGTGCTGAGTAACATTAACTTCACTTCAGTATTAACATGTGACAATGCTGTCCTTGTAAGTTAATGTCACATCAGTATTAACACGTTACTATGCTATCTGAGTAACATTAACTTCACGTCAATATCAATGTGTGACTATGCAATCCGACTAACATTAACTTCACTTCAGTATTAATGTGTAACTGTGCTGTCCAAGTAACGTTAACTTCATGTTAGTATTAACGTGTGCCTGTGCTATCCGAGTAACATTAACTTCATGTTAGTATTAACGTGTGTCTGTGCTACCCGAGTAATGTTAACTTCATGTTAGTATTAACATGTGACTGCTATCCTTGTAACATTAACTTCATGTTACTGTTAATGTGTGACTGTACTATCTGAGGAACATTAACTTCACTTCAGTGTTAATGCGTGACTTTGCTATCCTTGTACATTAACTTCGCATCAGTAGTAACATGAGACTCTGCTATCTGTGTAATGTTAAGTTCACTTCAGTATTAATACGTGACTGTGCTATCCATTTAATGTTAACTTCAGTATTAACATGTGACTTTGTTATCCATGTAACTTTAACTTCACTTCACTGTTAACACATGACTGTTATCCATGTAATGTTAACTTCACTTCAGTGTTAATACATGACTGCTATGCATGTAATGTTAACTTCACTTCAGTATCAACATGTGACTTTGTTATCTATGTAACTTTACTTCACTGTTAACGTGTGACTGTTATCCATGTTATATTAACTTCACTTCAATATTACCATGTGACTTAATATTATCTATGTAACTTTAACTTCACTTCAATGTTAGCACATGACTGTTATCCATGTAATGTTAAGTTCACTTCAGTATTAACATGTGACTTTGTTATCCATGTAACTGTAACTTCACTTCAGTGTTAATACAGGACTGTTATCTGTGTAATGTTATCCTCACTTCAGTATTAACACGTGACTGTTATCCATATAATGTTAACTTCCCTTCAGTATTAACATGTGACATTGTTTTCTATGGAACCTTAACTTTACTTTACTATTAACACATGACTGTTATCTGTCTAATGTTAATTTCACTTCAGTGTTAACACATGACTTTATCTGTGTACCATTAACTTTACTTCAGTATTAACATGTGACTCTGTTATCTATGTAATGTTAACTTCTCTTCAGTGTTAACACATGACTGTTATCTGTGTAATGTTACCTTCACTTCAGTATTAACATGTGACTTTGTTATCTATGTAACTTTAACTTCACTTCGGTGTTAACACATAACTGTTACCTATGTAACATTAACTTCACTTCAGTGTTAACACATGACTGTTATCCACGTAATGTTTACTTCACTTCAGTAATAACCATGACAACTAATGAAAAGTCAAATGCCTTCACTTAGCAAACGTTCTTTCATTTACACCGAAAACCCAGTGCAGTAGGAATGGCAAATCTTTTCTGAGAATCTTTAAAATAAGTTATATTTGACATGGTGGACGTAACAGTAACCAGAGGCCATCTTCGAAGATGTACGTTTTCAAACATAAGTTAACAAACCTAGCAGTAACTAAAAGGCACCGGCTTGCCGCAGGG